TTATGCTGGGAATTTTTAATATCCACCTAATTTTTGATATCACAACATTCAGGATTGTGAGCTAGTTAGTAGTACTTGTTTGTTGGTATATGCCTTTCTCTTAAAACATGCACACACACACAAAAGTCAGAATTGTACTTGTAAAAATATTGAATGGGCACTGCTGTAAATGGATTGGAATTTGTTAACTTGTAGTTTCAATTTAGTGTTGGTGATGATATTGGGAGTTTCTCTTTTTTGTTTGATTTTTTATGGGTAGGACAGAGGGGAGGGTGTATGATTGTTGATTCAACTCGGAAAGGAAGCAGTTTCCAGACAGTATGTCGAAGACAATATCCATTTGGACGTGTGTATTGAATCGGGCAATTTTGAATTATAGGAGCAGAGTGGGCAAGCCAAATATGCCAATGGAGCGAGTAAGTAGCCATAATGGATTATTCAATCTTTAGCATAAATGTTGAAAATTGTATCCAGTTCAATGATAGGATTGAAGGTTCTATGATTTCCTTTTGATTGCTGCCATTATTCTGTACTCGGGCGTTATGTGTATGATTTAGCTTTAGGGGGTATGTCAATTTTTGTCTGATCAATCAACAATACTTTCCGGAAAATCTATCTGCGAGCCTTTAAGTCAAAGACTTTATAGCCAAAACATGCAATTCAATGGTGTGTTTGATGCATTTGTTGTGGGAAGGAAGTCAGATTTGGGAGGCTATTTTGATTGGTTTTTAGTTTTATTCTGTAGAAGTAATCCAAGGTTAGGCAATGCATGGTTATGCAAAAGTAAAAAATGAATATTTTGTCAAATTTGTGTGGAAATGGATTCCGTGATACTTGACTTATTGTGCATCCAGATGGCAGTGTAAAAAGGAAGACTGGCCTATATATAGTAGCATTTTGAGTGGTTTGTGCCATTTTGATTGGATTGTTCTTATCCAAATGCTTTATTGAGTGAAGAAATCTGTTTTGTAAGCTTAACCTAATGTGTGGAGAGACTCTTCCTCATGAATGTATCATATATCTTAGCTTGGGAATCATATGAATTTACTAAGTGATTGCATCCGTTACGGAATGGTTTGGTTTGTTTAACTGTCGCCAGGCAATCTGTAATGGTCAACATTTCAAAGTAAATAATTTGAGGCAAACAATTATGCAGTTGTTTTACGGAAATTCTGTATAAAAATATTTGGTGCAATTATCTTTTGTTAAAGTTAAACTGTTGTAATTTGTCAAGAAGGAATATCACTATCAATTATTATTGTTCAGCTGGTGTACTGCATTTCAAGGGAAAAAACTCCAGTTATTCAAATTGCTGGAGTAAGTGAAACATGTTATGTATGGGCTCTTGTGAAACTTGTTTATGTAATTGTTGAACATGTGGTTTGACATGATTTTTTTCAGACAGTGGGATGCTTTCACTTTTTTATGTGGTAGAGATAGAGACCAGACAGATTCTGTAACAAGTTAATAATATCTCTTCTCCTAAGCATACTTATGCTTGTCTTCATCTAGTGCATGTGCTTTTTTATAGGAGTCAGATGCTTGTGATCAACATGCTGAAAGTACTGGACTTGTCTCTCCTAGTTGGGACTGCTCCTTGCATCTTCCCCTTTGGGTTTCCAATGCAGAGAAAGCAGCTATTGAAGATCGCTTGGAAGGATGGATCAAGCAATTAGAAGCCAGTGGAGGTGATGTTGCATGCATTGCATCAGCTTTGAAAAAGCCGTTACGCCCTCTATGGGTCTCACAGAAATCCGTCATCTGGTTAAATGAAGTACCTGGATATGACTCTTGGGATTTTACACCTATCATGCTTGTTTCTGCATCTTCCTCTTGTGGCATTTTGCAACAAAGGACTACCTCAGAGTTTAGCTGGACTTACATAGCAGGAGCTGGGGATGATGAAGAAAGTTGGGCCAGGGGTTTATCACCTAATCTTTTCTGGAGCCATGCGCATGAGCTTATAGACTCAGGTCCTGATTTATGTAACCAGAAGGTAGCTGATATTGTTGAAAAGGACAGAGTGTACCGTGCACAAAGGGGACAAAATGCTCCTCAGTTATCTGTCAAGCCTTCCAAGTTGTCTGGGAGCACTGATCATTTTCCTGCTGAGAATTCGCCGTTAGGATTGGGGATTTCAGGAGCTGAGAATGATAGGAAAGATTCCGTTGATCTTCATGCAATATCTTGGTTGGGTTCGACTAATCTTGCAGTTGGTGCAACTCAACATGGTATACTGATTAAATTACTCACTTTTAGTTGCTAGTAATACATAGTATTTAATTTGCAGTATAGTTTTTTATATTTTCCTTCATTTCCGGTCATGGCCTGGAAAATGCCCTATGTACAGTTTTTCATTGTTGCCTATACTCAATTAATTAATGTAGAATGAATTGCAAAATTAAAAAAAGAGAAAATCCGTGGTTACTTATTTCCTGTAGTTGGAATGTGGACAAACTTCATTAGTGCGAGGCAGTTGTATCCAGATGTCAGCATCTTGTCAGATTCATCATTGAAAGTAGTTATTTCTACAATTATTATTTTAGTCCAAGTATATTATTTTTTCCATAACATTTTGCTATTTCTGTTCTGTTAGATTATTTTTTCACCTTTGGCTACTTGAAGTAATTGAACAAGAGCTTTACAGCAGTGTGTGCACTATATTTTGGCTTCGGATATAGGTTATGGAATTTGTCTGATGTTTGAGTCCTCAACTTATTTAATTCCATCATCTGATTTATGGAATTGGAGGTTTAGTTATTGAGAAGGGTATATTGAATCCCATGGATGTGTTAAAGCTTGTTGTGATGTACCGGTGATGGTGCTAGAGCAGATGGTTGTGGTGGTGGCAACAGTTTTGTGGAAGAGGAATATGGGGTTTGGTGAAGTTTGGGGGCAATGGTGGTGGACGAATAGATCAGTAATGCTGCAGTTATGATGGAAGTGGAAGTAGGGTATGAGCATTGGAGTGGTGGCGTTGTTGTCAAGATGAGGTGCTTTCTGTGGGTGGTGTGGGGGAACATAAAGGCGCTGGTCCTCTCATTGAAGTCATGACCTGTTGGCAGTTGATTGGTAAGTGCTGAAGATTTGGTGGTGATGATGGTGGTGTTAGTAAGTTGTAACAATTGTACAGGGGTTGGGTTGGTATTGGCAATAATAACCTAATTCCTCCCAGATAGGAACTGTAATGTCTCGCCTTCACCTGTGTAATTCTAGAGAACTCCCTTTGTATCTTAACATAGTATGGTCCTACTGCATTTCCACTATAACATTTTGCATCCAACTCAATGATAGGTCATCCTGAGCTTTTGCATAGCATGCGTGGGCCTGATGACCAGTAATTCAAGTGTTTGTCCTGGTTGTGATCAACTCTTGTTGGGCTACTACTTATCTCTCTTTGGATTCCTATTTCAATTCTCACAAGTTTAAGCAGTAGATAATAATCCATTCCTTCCTCTTCGCTTCTGCTTGCCTCACTCCAGTCTGCTTTCTCTTCTCCAGCTGCAGATGCATCCGATGTTGATAGCGCATTGGTCTGTGAAAGGGAGTCATCCTCTCTCTGCCTTGAGTATCCTGAAGTTTATTTGCACCTGCCAATTCTGGTGTGTCTGACAAAATTGATGACAGGCTTTAGGATCTAATTATTTTATGTTAATAATTTCTTCTCAATTTCCTTTTGATAATTTTTTTTACCTGTTTTGTGGATTTTTCTGGACAGAACTCAAAACTGGACCGATTTTCTTTGTACAGAAATCTCCCTGCAGCACTGATTTTTGCAAAGTCAAACCTAAGAAAAGGAAATAGACTTCTAGTTTGCTGCAATGATGGTAAGTATAGGATGCTTGCATTGCAATTCCCTTTGTTAAGTTAGTGTTAAATTCATAATATTTAGCATCAATGTACAGGAACCTTGGGGAATACCCTTAGCAAAATACTAGAATGTTAGCATCACCTACAGTCAACCTCTGCAGATACCTTTACATTATAGAATGTCAATGAGTGATATCACCTACTTACGTCCTAGATAAACATTTTCTGACCTTCGTTCACTTCTTTTTGGATGTCATTATTTTTGCTATTCACATTTTTGGCTCTGTATGCATGCTTTTTTTTCCTAATGCCGTCATTCTAAACTCTGCGTTAACTTGTGCCTGCGAATCTGCTGTTAAATGTTGCACTAAGAAACGATAGATTTACTCTGTTTCAGGGGAAGACATTAGTGTATGCGTCTGTTTGGCTATCTTGACATCATTTTACACTAATGAAGGTATGCACTCTAATCTCATGCCAAGTTTAACATACGGTTTTCCCTCATTTTCAAGATAAAGCTTTGACTATAATATAAACAACAATTCATCGACATTCCTTCTTTCATTGGTTTTTTTTTCTACAGAAAGTTCCTTCTTTCGTTGGTTGAATGCACAGAATGATCATAGTCTCTATTTTGGAGTTTCGATGGTTCTCAATGTTTTTTAACATTTTACAGGATCTTTTGATGATGGGAAATCCTTCAGTGAGACATGTATCACTAAGCTGGAGATGCGACGACGACTGGTATTTATCTGTAAATTTGCAGTGAATGCCCGGCCATCAAGAGGAAATTTAAAACAAGTTTTTAATTTCCTGAAGGATCAAAGCGTTGGTTCCGGGTGCTGACAGCCATATTTATGTTTACGGGAACTATTGAAATTTGAAGTAATGTTAGTACTTGCAATACTGAGACTCCAGAATTTTGAGGAAATAAAGGAAGAAAACGAATAGCACTTCTAATCATTACATGTTGAAAGAATAGAAAATTTCTTTGTAAAATTTATCGTTTATTAGATAATTCATTTTCCTTTGGTAAAATCCAACATGAATGAAAGAAATAATGTTTTGCAAAATGCTCTTTTTAAAAAAAAAATAATTTTGGATAAGAATTCTTAAATGTCTTGGTTGATTCAACAATTGGACTAATGGAGTAATCATTTTATTGGTCTAGGGTTTATCATTTGACCATTGATATGTTTTTTTGGGAGCAAATATGAGATAATAAAACATGGGAATCATATTGGAATTGAAACCCAAAGTAAACTTGAGCATTTGTTATTTGCACCGTATTCACAATTTATTTACGTACTTTGAACAACTAAAACTTTGTCGGATACAAATTCTACAATTGTGGCGGCTATTGTAATTTGGATTTGTTATTTTAAGGTCAATCTATTAGGAATAAGTCTACACAGTTATGATTTTATTTAATTGAATTCAATAAAGACCCTTGCTAATATAGAGTATATCATATGTGAAAAAAAATTGTATGGACCGGCCAGAACTATGTGAATCAATAAGCTAGTTAATTCATATAGTTATCACAAAAACTAAGCATATTGGGTTGAAATTCATTTTTTTTTCTTCTTATTTTACTTGAGAGATGAAAAAACCATCTTTTTTTCATTATGCAACAACAATAGAAAATTCAGAGAGTCAACACACTGGCATTATAACAAAGAAAAAGAAGACAATATTCTTTTCTTTTCATTTTCCCATTAATATGGGACTTCAATAGAACAGTATCCTCCTAAGTCTTTAATGTGTTGACCAAACCAATTAAAAAAAATCAAGGCTTGACCTAGTATTCTAGCAGTAACAAACCAGTCAGCTTTGTACATTTCAATGATCATACCTGCTTCCCTCATCTCTGGAATCAAAAGCTGAGTTGGATTCTTGTGAAATATAATCGGCAGAGTGAATGAATGATCTACTTCCTTCTTCTATTGCCTCGGTAGCCGTTTCCTCTTTGGTTTTAGATCAACAACAATAATAGAAATGTTGTCAGAACTGTTCCTCCCAACAGCTATTTCAGTGAGGTTATCAGCAACGGCTTGCGCTGCAGGAATCTCATTCTGTGTCACAGATCTACGCTGCCGTCTTAGAACACGGCGAGCCACCTCCCCGACCTCATTGTTCGACATGACATCCCAAAGTCCATCACTTGCCAAGATTAAACACTCATCTTCATCACTCCTTGTTGTGAAAGTTACCTCGGGAACGGGAATAATCCACGGTCTCAAGTACCGGTCACCTGGAAAATAAATCATTTAGCAGTAAATACTTCAGAACATATGCATGCCATATCAGTAATAGGGTGCTTGCATATGTATATCCAGATAGTTATTGGAATCCCTCGCAATATCTGACGCTGCGTGAAATGATCCAAGAAAAATTGAACAAAAAAGGAAAGTAAAAGGCAATTGTAATTGTAAGGTGGACACACCATTTTTGCATGTTCATGTTGCAAACTGTTCATATCCTGAATTTATCAGCTTGTAGGAATACAAGTGCAACAAAATATTTGACAATCAAATGACGCTCAGAATGAACCTGCAATATGACGCTGAACATAGAATCTCCATGGTAGTGTACATAGATGGAGAAGAATCAAAAGAAACCAAAATATTCAGAATAAAACATTCATTTATGTGTATGTGTTTATAATAGAGGCATTAGCCCATCCCAAAAGACAGAAAATTTTCAAAAGCAAAACACCAAATTCCCAGTTCAGTTTGGTTATTATACAAGTAAATACCTATATATCAATGGTGAGTTGATCAAACAAAAAATGGTGAGTTGACAGCAAGGTTAAGCGGAGACCGAAACAGAAACAACCTGAACAGACAACCGAGTTGGTGTGCTTCTCTTTATGTTAACAAAGTAAGAGTTGGGAAACCATCGCAGTACCTGGTGATTCAAATTGTTCAGTGATTCCTTTGATTCTTTGGTTCTAAGACGTACTGAGAACATTCAACTGACATTCCACATCAGGGTGGAAGAACTACCAACTTGAAAAACTTTTTTACATAAGTTGTCTCAGTTCAATGTGTTATAATATTTCTATTCCAGGTAACTGCTCTATTCTCTCCACCATTCATAAAGAATTCAAGATTTCAGCTTTGATTTTCATTTCATCTGACCACTTACGTTGGGGTGGTGTTCACAAGCATTATCAAATTGTGACATGGCTTTTAAAACATCTATTGACGATACTAGTATCTAAACACGTCTGCTTATCTAGAGGGAAACAAGGGGAACCTAATGTTGAAAGCCTAATGCATTTTCACATGGGAAAATCCACCGGCCATTTGTTTGGCACAAAGTCAAATTTCAAAAGATAAAAAGTGTTGTTCAATGTCCAAGTAGAGTGGGCTAAGAATATAGCCTCGCTATTTCATTTAATGCTTTCATAAAGTAGTTTTGAATGTGTGTGAAACTTCAGCCCTGAAGGTCACCTATATATATGTGTATCAGTTTGTATTATGCATTCGAATACAAGGCCAAGACAACAAGTATCAAGCTTTGAGCAAAAAATTAAATTAGTAATTCTTTTTCTCTGTGAGAGTGAGTTTTACAGTAGTAACTCAACCACATCATATTTGTGCATTTTGTCTTTCATTTGACAAAATACCCAACACCTAAGCTACAGGAATTCTTTGATCAGCAGGTCGCTTAAAAACTATAATGCTAACCCTTTTCTTGAAAAGTTGCAACAGGGAAAAGGCAAGCCAACATTTGTGTGTAATGATATTAGAAAGATCATTATTGCTGGATGTACTGATAATAAACAATATTAGATTTGCACTTGACAATTGCCTATGAGGACAATCACAATGAAGAAGAGAATTAGAGAAAAGAATACCTATAGCTCTGGACATGGCAAGAACTCCAAATACCCTAGCACCATTCCAGTTTATGACCTTCCCTCCCTGTCCTTCAATCCTCACAAGTTCATCTTCTCTATCAGGCTGTAAAAGCAACACGAAGAATATATCTTTAAACCTGGTGAATGAAGGGCATGTTACGGATACAGAACTGTGTCCAACACAAAATATCAATAAATCTAGGCCGACTGACTTCTCTCCCCATTGACCCCCCTGGTGCTTCAGAGTTTACATATTTATATCTTAACATTCATGCACATCTAAATACCACAAGAAATAAAAGAAAAACACTTATGATTTCATCCAAACAACAGTGCAGTGTATCTTAGAAAAAGAGAATCAAGATCCAGTGGTATTGTGTACAACTCTACATCAGTCAATGAAAGTGAAAGTTAAGAAATCTAAAATGACCTTCTGATCAATGGTTAAGGGTATAGTTTCAGTCCCCCTGCAAAGCACTGCCCTTGAATCACCACAATTAGATGTAATGATCTGGCAACCAGATAGAATCACCACAACAGCAGTAGATCCAACCATTTCTGGTGCTGTTACCTCCGTCAAGAGCTCATTGTCAGCCCTCTCAAAACTACTACAGAATGCTGCCTCCCACCTCTGTTGCCATTCAAAACCATCTACTGTTTTTCGATCACACTCCTCTGCTACTACTTCATGCATCCGCTCAGCACAGAAGTTAGCCACCTATTAGTGATCAGCAGAGTTAAAAAATTGTCAGTGTATCATATAATCCTGATATGCTGTCAATATTTCATTGCCCTCAGTAAAAACATAAAGAAAACACCGCAATGAGAAACTGCCAAGTGCATACATACGTTGAAAAAATAGGTACGACAAGATAACGTGAGTTAATAATAGATTTAAAGAGTAATGGTATAGCACAAACAGATTTTTCTAGAACAGCTAGTGCCATTGCATGATGGATTCCTTGTATTGATGTTCCATCAGGTCATATGCGAAAGTGAGTACACACACAAGCCCATGGTAATAAAAGAACAAATGGCATAACAATCCACTGGTATAGGCTTAGTTGAGTACCAATTTGTAATATCTTAACCCCCACCTAAAAAAGTTCAATATATCTAAAACTCTTAATATTTTTTTCTTTCTCTTGCAACCTTCCCTCCTCAAGAACGAAACAGAAAAATAGTAGAAATGTATTCTAGCTGATGAGGAAGAAGGCTAAGGCTCTAACCCAAATATTCAGATCTCAAGCAGAAGAGGAGAGAATGAAAACAATGGAGGAAAACAAATTTAGATGGATATTTACCGAAGTGATTAACACAGGACATAAGTTATTGGTGACATGATGAATTGATGATTTGCATACAATGCTAGCAAATTGACAAAATAACAGCACAAAATAACGTTGGCACCGTGTCAACAAAATTGAAGAGCTTCCCGACTCAATTGATCCTAAGGTGATCTGATTGAGTCATAAATTTTGATATCCCGAACCTTTCCTGGCATTTCCAAGTATCTAAAGCAGGGATGGGTTTAAAACTGATCGCCACCAATTTTTTTTTCTTCCAAAAAATATAACCTGAGCATAAGGAGGCATAATCATGGTCACAAGGAAAAAGGTTAGTGCCCACTGAAGAATAGTCATGCCACACAACAGAGCATATGGTCCCCAGAAATAAGGATAAGGCAACAGGACCATGGCAAAATTGATCTTAATTTTGATTTAGATGATTTATGATTATTAATTAAAAAAATTAAATAAAATAATTATTTATGTAACACATTTTTATTGGGTAAAAAATAGAGTTATTGTCCTGGAAACATATTTTTTAATTCCAAAACGGAAAGCCGTGATCCTCATGCCTCCTAAATTCATTTTTTTTTAATTTAATAATTAGCAGTATTCAAATCAACTTACATACATTTCAAATAATTTTTTTTTTATCGGATAAAAAATAGGTTATTCTCGAGACTAGAATA